GCGCTGGGCCAGGTTTTCTCCTAGTACTTCGGTTTCCCTAACCAATCTTCATTCCACCAAATTCTCCATCATCATAATCACCCAGGGCACACTACAATAGGCCAATCAGCGGCCACCGTGCTGAGTGGACTCAGTTGGACTCCACCCCCCACTAAGCAAATTAAAAAAAAAAAAGAGCTTCAGACCTGAACTAGACCTTTCCTTCATGTTACAATGAGCTGTATTGGGGGAAAATTATAATCTTATTAGACATTAATTATTTGGACCAGTAGAGACCAAAGCCATTATTCACTCTACAATATTCGGTGCTTATCCGTAGATGAATGTCTCCAAAATACATTTAGTTTAAACACACGAATGACTGCACAGGCAGTACTTATTCATGTAAAGCATCTGCTATTTTCATCTGATTCTTACGAAAATGGAAATGTGTCCAAAAAGCTTACAGAAACACATATACAGTAGAACTTGGTTATAACGTCATCAAAGGGACCTAAAACTAGTGTCGTTATAAACGAATGTCGTTGTAACCGAAATGGGCACTTCCACAGTAGCCTTATGTTAGTCACGTAAAAATCTACCAAAAACCGAGTTAAAATGTTGCATTTTTTAGTGAAATACGTAGTTAAGTACAGACTAACGTAACATTAACGTGGAATTGCCCAAATGTGTAATATCAAAGACATATTACAGCGCTTTTCACTGACAATACACACCGCACTAATACTGTATATTAAAGGTAGGCCTACTCACCAAATTACAGTAGATTACATCAATTGTTGTGCCTTACTGTACCTAGATACGAGTACAGTAATCAGTTATCTTCATCTGTTTCCTGTTACTTGCCCAATACACACTTTCTAAATTACGTTCAATGTCCATATCAGAGAAATTCAGGAATGAAAATGACGTTACATACGAGGTTGATGCATTTGTGCATGTCGTACTAAGCAAGGTATAAAACAGTTGCTTTATGAGGAATTAGTTCGTACCACTGAATATTTGACGCAATAGACAAGGTGTCGCAGAAACCGATGTTGCTATAACCAAGTTTTACTGTATATCAAATTTCATGAAAGTCCATTTTCTGGTTGTTGCATGTAGGCAATGAGAAGATGGTTGAGTAGAAATAGTGAAATAGGAACATTTCAGAAACTGTTCTGAAAATATTCCACAGGCGCAACAAATGAGGCTTTTACATCCCAATAATGATCTCACTTTACACTGTATGTGTCACGATAAGATTAATCTCTGTATTTCATTTAACGTAAGATACGGAAAGGTATGCATGAAACGTGCCAAATTTCTGTCATCTCTGCATAATTTTTTACCAACCTAGCCAATAGCAACAAAAACAAACAAACTCCGTGGCCTGTAGTCCGTAAGCAAACTATACCGACCGAGCGACCACCGTTTGTCAGTGAAGTTAGTGATAATGGCAACATCTATCAATAATTTTTATTATACACCGAGTAAACTCTAAGGTAGGCCACACACCGGTATGCGTCAAGACATGTAACAGTCAAGACACAATGTCTGCGACATGACGCAAACAAAGGAGCACAGTTAATACAAATGAGATTATGAAAACCACCTCACACCAGTCTGAGTCGTGATGCTGATGTCAGCTTCATGCTGACAAATCACGAATGAAACAAGACTGCGTCTTTTGTCTCATGTCCTGATGCTTATCTCTACGCAGTTGGTGTGTGGCCACCCTAACAGCTGCAGACAACAGATCACATATGGATTTACAAAAACAATAATTGCAACTCACTTTCTTGCTCATATTTTTTCTGCATCTACAAAGCTAGAATATACAGAAATCAACATAACAGTTAATGCAACAGAATATCTAAAATTTCACTCAAAGTGTTTTGAACAAAGACTATATTTTGTTGAAAAAATCAACATTAAAGGATGGAGTATTTTAATGCTTCTTCTGGGCATAAAAATTGCTCTTTTTGAAAAACCAACTCATCATATGCCATCCCCATGTTGGCCTTCATTTCTATAATGGCCAGACTCACCCCTCTGCAATGACACTGCATAAATGGACCTCACAGCATGCACATAGCAACCATGGACAGAATTTTCTATGTCAATATATCAGTCATAATAAGCAAAACAAACTCCGTGGTTTTGTCCGCAAGCAAACTATACCAACAGAGTGACCGCCACTCATTGGCGAAGTTAATGCCAACTTTAGTGGATAAAGGTTGTCGCATGGTCAGCACAACGAATCCCCAAGGCCATTAATTTCGGTTTTCTAGACTGGAACCGCTAGTTCCTTGAAATAGCTCCTCAATTATCCTCATGAGGCTGAGCTGACCCCATTCCAGACCCACTACTTCTCAGAAAATCTGGTAGTACCAGGAAACGAACCCAGACCTCTCATCTGGGCAAGGCATTCTGATATCTTATACAATTGTAATGTTTCACTTGCTCTACTACAAACCCATCTCTTCTGCCAAAATTCTTTCAGAAAGCATTTTCTTTCTCATGTTTGTAAGAACATTTCAGAATCAAGGTGGAGAGTTAAATTATAAATCCACATTGCAGTCAGCCGCTTAAGGCCTACAACTACAGCATTACCTTCCATTCATAATCTGTAGAACATGAGTACGGCAATATGGCATTAACAACAGAACTTCATACACACCATTTCCTGTATGAGTAAGACTTGAATCAACATATCCAATTATATTCTTGTGGCCACTCAAATTACTCTGGAATCATAAAATGAGAAAACATTACTAACTTTAGCAAAATTAATCACACCACAGTAATAAAACAGATATCTGCATCTAAGTATAATATGTGTGTGTGTGTCATATTACTGCACAACTGTCCAATATTTTCCCCACTTCTCCACCCCAATTACATAGCTGCAGCAAAGACTCAACCATATGGTTACATTTTAAACCATTATTGACATACAGCAAGAAATACTGTATTTTGCATGTATCTCATTATACTAAGAAGTGTGTGGTGGAAGCATTGGAAATTTGAATTTTGACTGACATTCCTTCACAGTAATATATGAAAATAAACATAAAGGTGAGGTAAAGCTATCCCTGTTAACAGGCTGTGAAGGCTCATAGGGCTGTGAGGCGTCGAGGCTGCCACATTTTCTCTAGACAATCAGCTCACAGATGGCGGTAAGTTTGTCAGCCTTACGCGCCACCCGCCCTTTACCCCCCAGGAAGAATGATGAAACAAATGATTGCGTCTTGACCAAGAAAATATAATCAAATATAGTTTTTAAACATGTCAGTCAAACAATTACTTCATTGAAATGGTTAGCAAGGTTGAATGTTTCAACACTAATTAAACATTACCAACAGACCTTCCCAAGTAACAAGCGTAAAGGACATTTTACAATGCATTAAGTGATGCCAGTTATTTCATGAGGATGGTCACCCACCCATTTAAAGGCAGAAGAGGAATAAAGGCATAAATGTAACCTACGATATAGATAAAATTATATACTGAGTGTTAAGATTTGAAAATGGTGGTATGGTGATGCTGGAGTTTGTGAAAGATTAAGACAAACTGATAACCTTTAAATACACAGTTTAAAATGAAAACTGACTGGAAAAGGACTAATACACAAAACCAGATATACCGGAACATAACCACTGCAAAATGTATCTGTATTTAGTCAGAACATGGCCACGCCACAGCTCATGCGGTAGTCATCATTCCTATTGTAAACAAATTTTACATGTTCTGCAGGCAATTTAATATGTTTATATTAAATGTAAAGCAAAATTCACTCACCGCTATCTGAATTTCACGTTTGGAGACATTGAGGTCATGTTCATTATTAACATACATTCGTTTCAGTGCATAACGAACTCCGCTATTGTTCGCTTTGACCAGAAATACTACAGCAAACCCACCTACAAAATAATAAAAGGACAGCACAGTAGAATATTTTTCCATACATAGTCTTCCCTGATAAAATGAGAAAAGAACTCATTTGCAATAGCATCTATCATTAATATTTGTAAACGTTACAGCCTGAAAACGCCAAACATATAAAATCAGGTACCTGATGTAAGACCAGAATTACTAACATCACACCAGACTGAAGACAAAATGTATTATATTCTATATAACTACAAATAATCTATGCATGTTACTTATAAATTAAATTATATTAAACAATATTATGCTTCCTGTACAGAGTCCTAAATATGATGGAGTAGGTAATTAACTGAAAACGCATAATGACCAAGCACGCTGATTCATCCTCCAATTAACGAAACCTCAATTTATTGTTTCATAAGGTCTAAAAGTTTGTGACGATGGTACATTGCTATAAGTATTATGTTTTAGGACATTATCCATCATCCTGTCTATTTTCTAAAAAACCATCTTGTTTATTTTTCAAAAACAGAATGTTTCGGAGACTGGATTCTGTCCCCGTCCTCAGGTAAAACCTACTCAGTTGGGTCCAATACACAGAGCTAGTCTCTATCTCCGGACAACTATGCCAGTTTCAGAAAGGGGTACTCTGTTTGGTGCTATCCTGTTTGAATAAATGTTAGAAGACCATCTGTATTAACTCAATATTCTCACTGTTATGACCAAATGCTTGGAGAGTGAACAAAGGTCTCAACACTGACCCCTAGGTTGTAGCTGATGTGTGCTCACCTAACGGAAAGGAACCTCATTATATCTAAATAAGAAGAGTCCTGCAAGTTCTGCAATACACACCACTGCACCTGGTGTACACAAGTGCAAAGGAGATCCTGCTACTGGAAGACCTCAGTTATAACCTACTGCTTACATCCACTGAGCCATATAACAGACTGTACTCAAAGAAGTCAAAACAAAACAAAACAAAACAAAAAAAAAAGACTTTTATTCGACAGATGTAAAAATGAATAAGAACTTGATGGAGGCAGATTATGAGTGATGACATGGTCACAAGACTACTGTTTACAGTGTGATGAGCCAGCACAACCTAAACTGTAAAAGAACCTGATCGTTACGTACTACGGTGAAGAATAACCAAGCACAATTTTGCACACTTCAGTATTCATAAATCAGAAACTTAGACCCACTACTGCAAACACCCAACTATAAAGATTTTTCTGATTTGATCAATAAAAACATTATATCCTACAAGTTTCGCACATTTGGACAAAACAGCTTGGTTTGACAATTATGACATCCATGCACATTTAATCATTAATAAATTTGGGGTATCTACAACTCACAATGATATACAGTGAAACACATACACAACATTAAAAGACTGATTTCGTCATAAATATTTTAAAAATATGTACAATTTTATGTTATCATCACCTTCACCATAAAACATAAATCATAAAAGAACTAACCTTCTGCTAGAACGTCTTCAACCGTAACAGTCATTCTTCCAACAACAAACACTTTACCCACGTAACTATTGGGCTCTTTGGCTGTATTGTCAATTTTTGTTTCTATTTTCGAAAAAAGCTTCTTCATGTTTGTTTCCCTCGGGAGTTCAATGAAAGCTGTCAAACTGGGCAAGATCTCTGAATGACAGGGATTATTACCAAATAATATATATAATACTGTATATGGAAAAGACTGTTACTAGTTATAAGATCATGAAATATTACAGGAATTATTAAAGACGTTATTTTCGTAATTCGTGACGTTTAATTCCATGGGCACTATAGCCGATACGCCTGCATTTCAACGAGAACCAATTTATGAAATAAATGCAGCTAATCGACTATCAAATCTATACAACACTGAAATATGTACACTCAGTCTATTACATTAACAGTTAAAGTCTGCACAACTGTCCTCCGTTTCTTCATTTTAACATATCAACCAAACGTCTCCACAAAAGTACAAAATCAGCAGCCCCGTTTTCGCAAGATGGCCACTTCCTGGAACGTCATGAAGAACGGAACCGGATCTTATTCATTACAGTACTTCTATCCTGTTCATACTCTGTAATTATGTATGTGAACTCAAGTCTGTTGCATACCCTCGCTCCATTCGCTAGAGTACAAATAAATCCATCGACACACAAATTTGAAACAAGTAATGAGGACTTAGAAGACCGGTGAAGACGCTATTTTGATATGACGATAACATTTCGAAGCACATGTATAGACGGCGAACTTCACAATAAACAGCGACATCTATGACATCTACACCTCTAATGGAAATAAAAAAAAATAAATGTAACAACAAAAGAAGAATTATCAAAAGTAAAGTATTTTTGCATTGTTTTATTTTCTTATAGGAGCCAGCATAACATAGGCGGTATAATGATCGGCTACTGGCTGGACGACCAAGGGGTCAGGGTTCGAGTCCCGGTAGGGTCAAGAATTTTCTCCTCTCCACGTCATCCAGACCGGTTATGGGGCCCATCCAGCCTCCTATCCAGTGGGTACCGGAGTCTCTTCCCTCAGGGGTAAAGCTGACCACTCACCTCCAACTAGAGCTGAGGTCAAGAAAATGTGGATCTATACATCAACTCCCCAGTACACTTTCATGGCATGTGCTTAATTAGTTGAAACACAAGGACAACTTTTCTTTTACATTTATTTTCCTACAGACGCCATTATGTACATCTCCAGGCACACATTTAAAATAAAAATTTAATTCCAGTTTTAATATGTTTGCAAGAGTGATATTAATGACAAAAACTTCATGCACAGATAATCAACAAAAGTCCACAAACTATTACAAAATACACAGTGTGAAAACTGGGATGAGGGAGAGCCCAACATGGGCTTTAAGCCTTTATTTCAATCCAAATGGTACATAGTACATGCATCCTTACAGCAAACACTGACCTCCAATAAGAATTACATATATTTCACTTACCTTTCATGTCAGTGTCATTACAACTTGGGCACCAAGATATGCATGGGCATACCCGGACAGAAACATTTTAACAGACAGCACCATACATCCATGAGATACCAGACTGAACTGCTGTTACCACACTTCATTAAATCAATAAAAACAAAAAATTCAATGTCTTGCCACACTGGTTCAGAGAGACTGCTTGGAGCAGAAGTCAACAAAACCAAAGATTCATGTGTTCAACTTCCAACCCACCTGCAACCCATCTCAATTCCTACAAACAAAACCTCCTTGGACAAACCCCCATGTCAGTTTGCAATCGATGACCAGTGCTTCACAGAAATGTCTGCTTCCATTCTGATGAACCTGGAGAACATCAGGTGACCAGGTGTTCTCATCATGTATCTGGTCATNTTCATTTGACATACATAATGGGGTCACGCCATAGCTCAGGTGGTTAGTCGCTGGCATTCCACCGCGGCGGCTTGGCACTACAGCCCCAGTGGACCTAGGCCTACCTCCATGAACTTCTCTGTTCACTTCGATTCTTCTAGATCTTACACATTCAGTAGGCCTCTTTGGGCGGGTGATCAGCTCGTCGCAAGGCCTCTACCTGCACACAAACCCAGAAAAACGCACACACACAAACAAAACATCCATGCTCTGAGTGGGATTTGAACCCACCACCCCGGTTTCCAAGCGAGCGAAGACAGTACATGCCTTAGACTGCTCGGCTACCGTGACGGGCATGCAGCTTCTACTAGCGAAATTTAAATTCCAGACTGTCCAAAACGGGGTACTTTGGCCACGACAAACATACTCATCACTGGCTCGATCGGGGCACTTCGGAGCAACCTCAAACAGCTCGAAATTAAAAGTTTGCACCATCTGGGCAGTAAAACCTGAACACTCTGGAAAGCCACTGAGTGTCAGCCCAACCTTGATATCACGCAGCTATTTAACTACTTGAGACCAAGCTAAATCTGCATGAGTTAACAATAACCTGAACACTCGAGACTAAAACCTCATGGAAAGCCACAAAGTTTAGTCAAAATGTACCATCTTAACTTCTATGGAAGCGTGGGAACCGTCCCATCCCACACTTAGCATCACACAGCTATTTAATCACTTGAGACCAAGCTAATTCAGCGCAAGTTATGAACGACATTTTCATATTTTACAGAAACTGGTGAGATACACTCTCCCGATAAATAATGTTGCAACCCTGGGCTCTTGTACTGCAGAGGTTCTTACTACATAGTGTTTTTTTTTTGAACTGAGTTTAATATCACTTCACTCAAAACCATCTGGAGGGGCAGGAGTTAACTGACATCAAACTCAGTTCGAAAACAGAAAACACACAGTGGAGTAAGAACCTCTGCAGTACAAGATATCAGGTTGCAACATTATTTATCGGGAGAAAGTTTCTCACCAGTGCCTGTAAAATAAGAACATTTTATTTACATCAATTCAACACCACCTTACTGAAATGCAATGGATATTTGAACTATAACAAATATAGAATATTTGTGTTTAGGAAAGCTAATGGTGGGTAAACTTGAAAGAAAATTCTGTTTCTCTTTCTCCTCAACAGGGTGTTGGGAGAATATTTGGGCTGAAGAGGGATGAAGTGACAGGAGGTTAGAGAAAAACCCCTACCGTCCAGCTGGCAGCTGAACCTGTGGAGTAATGTTCAGGTTTCAATCCACAGATGGCACTGCAGGGTTTATTAATTTTTTGTTAACTCTCGGTAATGTAGCGTGGTACCAAGCGATTACAATCCTTCACGACTGTAACGGGGGGCATGGGTGGGTCGCCACGCTTCCACAATGTCATCCTCAGTGACTGGCGCCCTACCACTACAAAATGAATTTTTGGAGGAGCGGCTTGGCACAGCCCAGTAAGTGAGCTCATATGAAACTAAGATGTTTCATTGTATACTTCACTTCGTGGCTTTCCGTGAGGTATTAGTCAACAGAATGCGCTGCAGTTATTATACGATTTGTTGCTAACGCCCGCTCATAGAACTTGGTCTGAAATGAATAAGTCAAAGTCACCCCCTAAGGGTGGGTGGTTGGTGGGCGGACGGTGGCCCAAATTTTTTTATTTTTGATCCCATGTGGATTTTAATAAAACCCGCTTAGGTTGAGTGTCTTAATGAGCGGCCGCAAAAAAAAAAACAACAAAAAACTTCCCTCACCCCGGTCCCTCCCTCTATCTCTCCCTCCTCCTTTACCCTATCACCTAATTCTTTCCATTTTATTTTTCACAAAAATCCTACTGGTTTTGAACCCGGGTCCTTCTGAACACTAAGCTGATGTCTTACCCCTAAGCCACCAGCACCAGTGAAATTTGTTTTCTTTAATCTTCCTCTTAAGCTACATCTTCGGTTATAATTCCAGAAAAATCAATAAACTTACTTTCTAAATCACAAAACTATACTTGGACTCGATCCTTCCAAGTCCTTTTCACTACGCCGGTGTTTTACCAATCGACCACCATTGCCACGGATAGTTTCGACCTTTAATCTTCCTCTTATGTTACATCTGTTCTTATAATTACAGAAAAATCTTACTTGTATTTTATAAAACTTTCGTTGCTTCCGAACCTCGGAACTTCTGTTCACTACACCGGTATTTTACCAATGAGCCACCAATGCCACGGAAATTTTTTACCTGTAATCTTCCTCTTATGTTACATCTCGCTATATAATTCCAGAAAAATTTCATTACAAAAATCCTTGTGGTCTCGAACCACCGACCTTTTGTTTACAACGCCTGTGCCTTACATCTAGACCACCAGAACATGTACGCTGTAGCTTTCTGCGATCCTCCTTATATTCTACGACTTGGTTTAAAGCTGCAGAAAAATCGTATTTATTTATTCACTTTCCAATTTATATTCGCAAAAGACACCGCAGTCTTGAACCCCGTACCTTCCCAATACTTCCCCAGTGTCTAACCCACGTACCACCAGATCTATACAAATTTGTTACCTTCACCTTCCTACATGCACAAATTTCTTACATTCTCTTTTTCACAAAAATAGTCATGGCTTGGAACTATGTAACATCTAAACCATACAGCAGTGCCTTACCAAAGGCCCATCATTGTGATGACAACTATTGTCCTTCGTCTTCCATATATCCCACCGCTTCGTTTCTACAAAGTTCTTCTTTACTCCTTTCTTCGTTTCAAAGTAATTTTACGACTGACGGTTGGCCAGTCACTCTCTCTTAATTTAGAGCCCATTCAGACGCTCTTGACCAGAACTTAGTCTTGAAGTAGCATCATTGTTTGGCCTTTAATTCTAACAAAATGCTGAATATATTAACTATGTGTAAAGTCACATACATTACTAACAGATGTCATACTGTAATATATGAATTCATATAAAACACAATTCAATAGTTTGAGAACATTTGTTAGTTTTTACTGCCTGATGATGGCTTCATAAGCTGAAACATGTAGCACACTGCCATATCATTAAGATCAATAAACTCATTATACACTGCAAATGTGAATGAGATTTTGATAGTTGTGCTGAGATGGAAAAAAAACAATAAAGAAATATAAATTCATTTGATACTTTACAATAATTAAATTATTTTGACGGTCTTAATTTTATTGTGGCCACTTCTAATTGGCCAGGTAACTCACTACACAGATGTCATCTATACATTAATTCTGCTACTAAAGAAACAAATTTTACACATTAATGTTCTGGAATGGGTGTCCTCCTACAGCCTACATGACAGGTTTCCATGCAGAACTCTGCAGATTTAGCCTTCATATAGGACCTGAAAAAGAGAGCTATCCCACCTTCTTCTCACAATAAAATTGGCATATGGGGTATGGCAGGTGTGGACTATAAAGAAAGCCACCAAGCAGGTTCTAGAGAATGGAATACAGGATACAAGAACCTAACACAGCAAGAGGTTCGAGTCAGTCTAGGATAAGAAATACTGGCAGGAATGAACAGAACAATACATTTAGCACATGAAGGGATACATCCTCAAAATATCAGGAATATTAAAAGAAAAAGAATTTCTTAATCGCATTGTAAATATCATCTTTATTTAAGGAATTAACAGGAATTACAGATAAAATTTTATTCCAAGTAATCCACATTTGTAGTTAAATTCTGAGGTTTTATTTGCAGTCC